AAGTAGTACATACAGTTGAAGTTGAAGTACTGACGATGGGGAACAGTATCTGCACAAAGGACTTAAAACTGAAGTTGAACCTGCTGAACACAAGTCAACAGTACGACAAGGTGGCTAAAAAGGCAAATTTGGGCTGTATCCATCAAGTTTAATTTTCAAAATCAGAGGAATGGATCCACTGTATTGGTCAGAACCCACTTGGAGTGCAAGGACGAATTCTGTCCATAACTCTTTCAGAAGGATTCAGTCAAAGGGTAACAGGAGCAAAGAAATGCAATGAGAAGAATTAGGGATGTTGATTAGTTTGGAGAAAAGATAATTGGGGGGGGGGAAGAGGTGAGGGGATATGACAGCACTTTTAAATTGTTTGAAGTTGTAAAAAGAAGGTCCAGATCCGTTCTCTACAGTCCCATAGAATACAGATAGTCTTCAGCTTATGACCACAATTGAGCCCAACATTTTTGTTGCTAAGCGAGAGAGTTTTGTTAAGTGAACTTTGCCCCATTTTACGACCTTTCTTGCCACAGTTGTTAAGTTAGTGACACGGTTGTTAAGTGAATCTGGCTTCGGCGTTGACCAGCAATTGTCTCAAAAGGGGATCACATGACTCCGGGACGCTACAACCGTCATAAATGTGAGTCAGCTGTTCAGCATCTGAATTTTGATCCTGTGACCATGGGGGTGCTGCAACGGCTGTGTGAAAAACAATCGTTAAGTAACTCTGAATGGTCACTAAACGAACCGTTGTAAGTCGAGGACTGCCACGTAAAAAAACGTCAACCTACAAGGATATATCTGAAAGAAAAAAAAAACCCTCCTAGCAGAAAGAGGGGTTTGACACGGAGATTGAACAGACAACAAAAACCTGAGAGCAGAAGATGGGACTCCCATTGATTTATCCCATGGGTAGGCAACCTTGGTTCTTTTATAACTCGTGGACTTCAACTCCCAGAATTCCTGAGCCAGCATGGCTCAGCTTGGAAACCTCTCCCTTATCCCTCAGCATGGCTGGCTCAGGAATTCTGGGAGTTGAAGTCCACGAGTCATAAAAGAGCCAAGGTTGCCTACCCCTGGTTTATCCAAACCTATGATGTTATGACACTTACCCTTCCTAAAATAGCTTACTCACCAGTAGGAAAGGCCCCTTGGCAGCCCAGTCCCGGGAGCTTCCCGAACCATATTCCTTACCGGCCAGTATGATGAGTGGGTGGCCGTCTTTTTGGTATCTCTCAGAAGCATCAAATACGTCCAGCTAGAGGCACCGAATGCAATTGAAGCTCAATTAGGGAAGCAATGTGATTCCTTCCTTCTATGTCTATTGCAGATGAACTCATTAGCTATTATAGCATAATGCCTTTTACACTAATACAGGGCTATAAAAAAATAATGAACTATGAAAGCCCAGTTGGCTCCTTCCCTGTAACTCATTCATTTGCCAAATGAAACTAATGGCCCTGTATCTCTACTCCAATTAATGCTCTTATATATATCTTATAAGGATATATATATACCTTATCCTTTCCACCAATTTTTCTTCTAATTTCTTTATAACTGTAGCCTTGTTCACTTAATAATACTATTTTACATCGCTTTCTGGACAAGCAGTCAACTCTTTGCACCATGACTTTAATTTTATTACGTTTTACAAGCTCACTAAATGAAAGAACACAAAAAAACCCAACCAGCCTGATAGCGATCACATAACACACTGACAAATGTCCTCCTCTCAGCTTCAATACAGGACATCAATAACTGAATCCCACTGTGATCTGATTGGCTCATTGCCAAATCAAGATGACATCTGATTGGCTCTCTAAACACTCATGCTCATTGGCTACAATCAGATGAAGGAAAGCTACCTGATGTTAACCTAAGCAAATTGTGCTTCCTTTTTCTGGTTATTTGGCTATAACTTTTCATGGAATACAGTACAGATAATTGAACAAACTTTCTGGCGTTACATTCTTGATTAAATTATCTTTCCATTGATATATAATTTTATGGTATTACTCCCCCCCCCAAAAAAAAGTGGTGTTATTAGCCATCAAACCTCAACAATACACTTTTCCCAAAAGGTTTCCACAATTTTGGCCACTACTGTATATAAGCACCCTGAAGCCTACTAAACACATAGATTGAAACTTCTGTCTGAAAGGACACAGTCCTGCAATAGCGGGAAAGCCAAAACTACCCCGGTCATGGGGGCAAAACCTAATGCTGGGAGAGAAAATACTTACAGTTTCATCACATGGGAAGTGGATGGTTTGCGGGGCCTGCTTCTTAAGGAATTTGTTCAATAAGCGTATGTTTGCAAATGTTCCTCTCGCCATGACAGCATCATTGCCCCGGCGTGAGCCGTACGAGTTGAAATCTCGAGGAGTGAGACTATCGGGATGCAAAAGAGACAAGGCTTAATATTCAAAAGTTTAATAAATAAGCAGAGAGATTCAATCCCCTGACATGTAGCTTCAGTCAGTGAAAGATCTATAATAGTACATAGTAGCCACTCAAACCACCTTGATTTGACAGTATTATCTCAAAGGTTCAGTTGGCGGAGTAGCTATGCTAAGAGGAAGGGTTAGGGCAGGGGTAGGCAACCTTGGCTCTTTTATGACTCGTGGACTTCAACTCCCAGAATTCCTGAGCCAGCCATGCTGAGGAATAAGGGAGAGGTTTCCAAGCTAAGCCATGCTGGCTCAGGAATGCTGGGAGTTGAAGTCCACGAGTCATAAAAGAGCCAAGGTTGCCTACCTCTGGGTTAGGGTGAGAAAAACAAAAATCTTTCAAGCCTTCTCTAACCTGGACCCTTCCGATTTGTTGAGATGCAACTCCAAAATTTTCTACCATGCTGGTTGACCATTCTTGGACACCCAATCCCAATCATGTCTTTCGGATGCTATATTTGAAGATATCATCTTCTAAAAGATGATCAAGGAAGAATAGGCTTTTGGGGCATCTCCAAAACATTTTCAAAACATTTAAGAACATTTTTAAATGATCCCTTGTAATGGTACGTGACAAAACCTTGAGAAACCGGCAAAGCAATGTTGCAAAGATACAGCCTGAAGCTGCGTAACAGATAAGAGGAAGAGGCTCGGAAGGGACCGCCCCTTATCTCCTCAGTCTATAAATGAAATGGCGGGAGATCCGTACTTTCAGATTCTGTTAATGTAGCCTTTACAGTGAAGAAGTAGCAGCTTATCTGGTTTGTTTCTCCTCTGTATATTCAGGAAGAGCGACATCCCTAACACAAACAAAAAAAATACAAGGGGCTAAATATGCCAGAAAGATGTTTCAAGGCATGGTAGAAAGAAGGTGGTAATAAAATTTGGAGGATTTAAAGACTGAGGACCTTCACACAAAGCATGCTGGATGGGGAACACTGGGTGCTGAAGTCCACACAGCTTAAAAAAGCTGAGGTTGAGGAACATTGTTCCAGGACACAGGTGACTAGACAGCATGTTTATAACTATGAATGTGCTTCTAAAATGATTCAGAAAATATCCTTTGCCCTTGTGCATGGAAAGCATTTCTCTAATATTCGTTAAAGGAACTATCTTTCTTCTAAGTTAGGATTGGAGTCTGAGGCTGGAAAAAAAAAATCAGGAATCTAGACACAAGAATTAGCACAATGAGGAGAGCAGTTAGAAACTATTTCTTTTCAGCACTGGCAGTAGTTATGTAAACCCAGTAATTGGGTTCTAGACATCGCTGTTGAAATCTACAACCGAGTTACTAAATCAGTGGTTCTCAACCTTTCTAATGCCGCGACCCCATAATACAGTTCCCCATGTTGTGGTGACCCCCAACCACTTATACATCACCGGGTACCAGGGGCATGGCCAAAGAAAAGGGGGGGAAAATGGCGGACAGCCTTGTTTGGCGACCCCCGTGAAATGGTCGTTCGACCCCAAATGGGGTCCCGATCCACAGGTTGAGAACCACTGGACTAAATGATGGCGAAGAGAGTAGGCAGAATTTCTTTGTCCAAAAGGAATTCCTCTCCCTCGGGGTGTGGACTGGACTCACCCTCTGCTAGTTAAGTAACGGGCAGCCGGACTGTTCCTTGCTATATTCCCTGCAGGAGATATATGGTCAGTTGTCACAGAATCGCCGAGATTCAGCAGGACATAGGCATCAACTATAGATTTAGGGGGAGGAAGCTCCAGGGTCTGGGGAAAAAAAACAGATCAGCAAAATAGGTTCATGTTTGTTGGTCAGGCATATAAATAAGGACTGGTTTATGAGAAGAGAAATTTACCCAGCTTCCATTAGATCCAAAGTATCTAAGAACTGGCCGTTCTTAAATCATATCGGAAAAATCTGAATGGACATAGCCCTTCTTTTTTTCTCACTTTGTGCTATTTTGCGTGGAATTTGGGGGAACCACAAATTCTAGGAAGATCAGTGTTTTAAAATAATCACTAAACTAGCTATTCCCAAAAGCAAATAGGAAATAATTCATGTAGATAATTCCTTAACCAGGGTTACGAATTGCGGCGGGGGGGGGCAGTTCACATTCCCCCCTTCTATTTGTATATCCACCTTTTCTCCTGTATCCAAATAGTCTAAAGATTATAAACTGAATGTGTTATTCAGAGCACTGACCTAATTAGAAAGAAAATCTAGTTCAGGGGTGTCAAACTGCCGGCCCGCGGGCCGGTTTCACCAAACTGAAGCCGTGCCCACCCCATTGCCGGCAATGCAAAAAGAGTCGCGATACGTCGCGACACATCACGTGATGAGTTTGACACCTGTGATCTAGTTACTTCAAATACTTTTGCAAATGTAAAAGCTTTATTTCCTACTAATAAATACTCATTTTAATGATCCTTCCTTCCTTCCTCCCTCCCTCCCTCCGTCCCTCCCTCCCTCAAGAGACTTCCTATAAGTCACACTTTGTTAGTAAACATGCTACTTTTGTTTTTACTTTACAAAACTTTCAGAGAAACAAAAAAATCCCCACTTAAATAATTTAAACAAACCACAACACACAAAGCATGTTTGTCAGAAAATTCATCAAAAGGCCACAGAAAGAGAATTACCAGGTTTTCAAAAAATGGAGGAGATTTAATATACGTGGATTTTGGATTCCAACCATATAGTTTGTCTGACGAGACCTCTAGGTCATTCCAGGATTTATTTACTGTCTGAAAAATTTAAAAAAAAATGAGGATACAAACAGCAAATGTAAATATTCTAAATCCCTTTATCTCCAGACTATGGATAAACAAGCAATGTCAGAAAAAAGTTCTTTTTGATCCAGAAACACATGAAAACAAATGCAGGCTTATGTTTATTGTGCAATTTCTGAACTAAGGGCTCCATTCTTTTACACATTCATCTAACCATGGTTATTTTTCTAACTCAAAGTCTGGCTGACCTGATTAAGTCTGAGATCAGGAGAATCAAGTAACGTGCCTATCCCAGAAATTTCACTGCTTCCAACAAAGTTTACATTTTGCTTCCATCAAAATTTGGTCAATCCCATACTGGCACTTTCCTTATCTTTCTGGTGATTTTTTTATTAGAATATCATTATCTCACCCAGTTTACAAAGAAAACTCTTTCTTGTTTTGGGGAAAACCTTTATAATTTTGACTGAAATTTTAACTTGCAACTAACAAGAAGCAAAAGTAACATCTGAGCAAATGCAGAAATTAAGTATTACCTCTATTTTCTGGTAGACCTCTTTAAACATTCCTGGAATTACATATTGACGTTCAATTTATGTTTAAGAACGTTCAATGACGTTCTTAAACATAAATTGCGCATGCACATATTTCAAACACAATACACCTTGTGTAACTCTTCTTAAGGGAAGAGTTTCAGGGGAAAAAAAAATATTCCTGGGAAAAGAGAAAGTGCGGGAAGGAAACTCAAAACAACCCACCTTGATTCTCCTGGATAAAGTAACAGTAGAGAGAAAGTCTGGCTGAGGAATTCTGGGAGTTGAAGTCCACAAGTCTTAAAAGTTGCCAAGGTTAGAGATCCCTGCCCTAAACCATTTCAGATAAGTGGTTGTCCACTTTCTTTTTGAAAGCCTCCAGTGATGGAACAGCCACAACTTCTGGAGGCAGACTATTCCATTGGTTGATTTGGAATGGTGGTTAATGATAAACAAGATAGAAAGTTACAAAAATACCCATCTTCTAAAACTTAATGTCTAAATACCGCGATGGGGTATTTTTACGTAAAGAATCTTAAGGTATTCGTTTCAATTATAATCATTTCATACTACTAGTGGGTATTTCTTTGAATAAGGCTAAGAGGTCATTCATCTCCTGATTTCAATCGATCTCTGCCAGGAAAAGGTGAAAGCGGCAAATGAAAATAATTCTGGAGGCAACATTGCCCCTCCCTCCCTCCCTCCCTCCCTCTCTCTCTCTCTCTCTCTCTCTCTCTTTCCTTTCTTTTCACATTTTAGTGTCTTAATTCATGTGTGGTCCTTCTAGTTTGAAGTGAATATTTTAATTATTCAGATTGTAGGATTGACCGCTTCACCTGGCATTGGCAATGCCAAAAATGTAGGGGAGGCCATAGACTACATCTGCAACATTTGTGCTTCCCTCAATATCGAAGTGATCTCAACGGTCAGAAAGAACATAAAGGACCTGGAAGAAATTGTTCCTAAACCTGAAAAAAGTGAGCCTGCATTCTAATTCTCTCTTTTGGAGTACAAGTAATCCTTTTTTTTTTTTTTAAAGAGTCCATGTAGTTCTTAAGTTTAATGACCATACTTGGGACTGGAATCTCAGTCATTAAGCAAAAGGGTCATTAAGTGAGACAACCACACAATTACCTCAGTCAGCGATTGTAATCCCAGACCCCCCTGGTTGCAGTTTTAAGTGATATCCCAGGTCATTGAGCGGAAGGAATCAAAGGTAAGGAGATCTAATGGAGAGGGGAACCCTTCAGGTTGCGGAAACAGAGCTAAAATCCTGATTATCTCAAAACCTTGATAATTTTAGCTCCTTTTCTGGACCTCCCCCTTCCCCCCCCCCCAAAAAAAAACAGAAGAGAGGGGCAATTCTTTGCAGGCTGGAAATCTCATCTTGATGGGGTAGAGCTGAGATTATCACCCCAGCAGGTAGCCAGCTCCCAGAGATGAGAGGGAGTCCTCTCAGCTTGCAATCTTCTCTGCAGCGCTTTCCCACTGACTTTCTGGGGAAGCCAGCAGAAAAGATTGCAAATGGCAATCACATAATTGCAAGGAGCTTAACAACTGGCCATCCAGTGTCACCATCATATGACCATGGGAGAGGTATACAAATTTATAAGGGCTGGGGGTGCTTATTGGTCATAAAGCACCCTTTCGAGATCTTCATAACTTTGAATAGTCATTCAACAACCTGTCGTGACTAGTTCTAACCTTGAAATCCGTTACAATGCAGTTATGTTGGATATCATGTTTCCTCCTCCAGTGCCTCCACCCTTCCAAATGAAGAGGCAATATACTTAAATAGGAGTAGGCAGGGATGGGCCTGCATTTTGTTCTCGTAGTGACTAAATGGATGTCTCCAAGAAAACCACAAGCAGTCATGCACATTAATCTTATTCCTCAGCAATTTATACTAAGAAGCTTTTTTGGGGCAATGAAGGAAATACATTAATATTGCACAACTGTATGTGTCTCACATTTCCCTCTGCTGCAAATAGGTGTGGGGAATACTCATGAAATCCGGTGTCAATGTACCTGCAGTTCAGATTGGATTTCTTTCCAGACACTTTTCATTTAATAGTTCTGTTGAGACTTGATACTGGGGATGAACTGCCATAGAACCCATCTCTCAGCGAGATAAACCCATAATCTGATAACCCGTTCTGAAGAGCCATAGTGGATGTCCTATATCAGAGGTCCTCAGGCCCCAACCCCCAGGCTGAGGTCCCTACCGGACCTTGAGCCATTTGGAACCGGGTGAGCGCACACACATGCTCCATTTGCATGAGTAGCGGGTGTTGCATGCCCACCGTTCGTGTAAATGGAGCTGAATGCATACGCTTGCCCGCCACTCACACAGAGCCCATCCCCTCCCCTCCCCATGCCAGTCTGCAAAGCTGGAAAAGTTGGGGAACTCTGTGCTATATAATAGTTTAAAAGTCTTGGTAGTCATATTATATAGATCCTGTTTGGCATTTCCATTAAACATCCCTGGGCTAGAAGTTGGGACATAGCTGAACTCAGTAGATAGCTACTTATCTAGCAAAGGTTCGGAAAGACCGAAAGCTTTCTCCACTTGTCAGATGATGCTCTGTAACTAAACTAATTCCTGTTGCTAGGTAGGGACTTTTCCCTAAATGCATGTTTCTTCTTGAATAGATGCATAACGATGGATTAATTTAGCCATCAATTGAGATGGCATTCCTGATATACTCCTGTGGTGGATCCTGCCAAATTTCAGGTTCCTTCAGGAATTTCAAAGTGGGGAGGTTTCTAAAAGTATGCAGAACATGTCACATTTGAAACATTTTGGACTGAGAAGACTGTTTCAAGTTCAAAGTGCCTTGTTTTGAGTTTAGACTAGAAGATTATCCCAATTTTGAAATGTTCCAGCCAGTCCTATGTTGAATGAAGAACACTTTTAGAATAGGACAGTGTGACAATGTTTCTGGTGAAATTTGAACAGTTTGGGACTTATTTTGACTTGTAAGGGGATATTTTTAGCTCAAACCATTTTTATAGCCCTCAAATTGTCAGCGATTCTGAGCAGTTAAAACCCCAGTGGGAGAGAGTCATGCTGTACCAGAAGAAAAGTTCTTAAACATAAATTGCGCATGCACATATTTCAAACACAATACACCTTGTGTAACTCTAGGCTTGAAGGGGTTTCTCCAATGGGACCTCGATCTGATGGACCCAGATGACTTTTCCAGGAATTCCCCAGTGATAAACCTGTATCCTTCCCTTGTGGTAGAGATTATGCCAAGCTACTTTGACACCTTCCTTTATTTATCTATGGAGATTCTCAGTCATCCAGGTCATGGTTGTCCCAAAGGTGCTTTTTCAAAAGGCAACTGGATTTTATTTTTGTATACTTGATGACTGGTATACTGCTACTATAGCCGTATCTCTGAAAGGCAAACGTTGAAAAAAGATAGCATAATAAATTAATTCCTCAAGTTCTAAAACACTTAATCTTTTCTTGGACAAAGGGCCTGTAATAGTTTTAGAATATTTAAATGTGCAGCTAATAACACATTAATGATGGCAGTTTCTTTTTTACTTTTACTGCAGTTATTAAGCTTGTTGGGACTCGTCCACAGAATCGCTTTGTAGATATTGTGTCTCAGATGATGTCAAAAGCAGAGGATCTAGCAAGACAATTTCATCCTATTGGTAAGATGATGGAGATTGCTTGATGATGTCGGTTATATGCTCCATTGATGTAACATAAGTTTTGTGAAATCATCACTTTTTCCTGTGATCTGAACAAAAGCAGACTCTTTCTAAGAGCATCAAGATGTGATATATCCATGGACATATAGATATACACACACATACATTACATAGATACGTTAATCATTATGTAATACAGTCACACCATTCATCACAAAAAAGTGTAATCCAGTTCATTGTAATATAGCTTCATAATAGAGTTTGTATTCATAACATATTCCATAATGCATAATACAGCTGAATTTTCATTTCAAAATAGTATAAACTGCATATTAAAGTGCGCTATGTTGTACAATTCACATTATGAGCCATCGTGGAGCAGTGGCTAGAATGCAATATGGCAGGCCTTTCTTTCTTCTAAGGTCAGTAAAATGAGAGGACACAGATTGTTGGGGGCAATATGCTGACTTCATACACTTAGAGAGGGCTGTAAAGCACTGTGAAGTGGTATGTCTTATTGCTATTGCTATGCTGTACAATTCACATTACAGCTCGGTATATTAAACATAGTACATATAACATACTACTAAGCAAAACAAACTTACCTAACACAAGATATAATGTCATATATTGCACCATAATTCTAAAGAGAACTCAAAGCACATACTGTCTCTCTCTCATCTCTCTCTCTATTATCTATCTATCTATCTATCTATCTATCTATCTATCTATCTATCTATCTATCTATCTATCTATCTATCTATCTATCATATCGTTTTATCCATTTATCATATCTATCTAATAGATGATAGATATAAATAAATGATAGATAAGCATTTATTTATTATATGTCATCTATCATATCTATATCTACTTATTATATCTATATCTATTATATCTATTTTATCTATCAAATAGATGATAGATATAAATAAATGATAAATAATCATTTCATCTATCATCTCATCTATTTATCATATCTATCATCTATGTATATCTATCATATCTATATCTATCATCTATTTAATATATCTATATATCAATTTATATCTATCATCTCTCTATCGATCTATCTATCTATCTCTATAGCTATCTGCTCTATGTCTGTCTGTCTGTCTAGCTATCTATTTATCTGCTCTATCAGCTCTCTCTCTCTCTTCTCTCTGTGTTATCTCTCTATCTCTTAATCTATTATGTTTATATTTCCATCCAATTTAGACTATCATACACTGTGGACAATGCAGTTTTTATTTTACATGTGATTTATGTGGCCACCCTCTGACACAGGTAATTCTGAGAGGCATACAAGAATTAACAAACACACAACTACAACTCTTGTACCCAAGAATGAACAATCCCATTCACCAAAAAGACACATTGATCACAGCAGTTCTCACCTAACCTCGCCCGAATGCCTAAGAAAACAACCAGGTCTTTGGTGGGGGCCATCTGAATCTCTGGCAGATGCTGTTCTCCAGTGAGCAGCAGACAAGATTTTCTCAAGACAGCGTAAGATGGTAGACAGTACACAACAGAACAGTACATAATGGAATATAACCCAGTGGAGTGGAAATAAATGAGTAATAATGGAAAGGAATATGTGGTAGGGCAAAGCAAATGCAAAGCAATTCACAGTATCAGATAACAGCACAGAGTAATATATATTAATATTACAAACCACAAAATACTGTACAACCACATGAAAGAATACAGAACAATGCATTAAAAAACACAAAGCTCAAAATGATACTATGGTATAAGATCTCCATACCATGCAATGCTCTATGTGCAAGCTAATATATACAGCATTTAATTATTTCTGTAACAAATGCGCGTAGGTGGCAAAGGAGGATAAAAGAACCATTATCAGTTTAAAGAAAGAAAAAAAAGACAAAATCAAGATCCCCAATAAAAAAAATCGCATAAATCAACACCAGAGTGCCATTAACAGCCATGTCTTCACCGCCTTGTCAAAGGCCAGCATGCAGTGATACAGACCATATGTTCTAGCCTGACAGAACAATACAATACATAGTGCTATAGGTTATAATACACCTTGAATTATGATGTGAATAAAGAGATCTCTCTGCTCTTCATTGTAGGCTTTCAATACATTTTTTAAAAAACCTTTCCTTTTTCATTAGATAACATGTCTGTGATGAAGAATCAATGTTACGGGACCCAGAAGTATGAGCAGTGGATAGTCGATGTGCAGAAAAAAGCTGTGGTGTTACAGTTGCCAAATAAGGAAGAAGAAAGCCGAGTCTGCAGGGCTCTTTTTATTTGCACACAGCACCTCCGGGTGGGTAACTTCCTTCTTTAGAGCCCTGGTGGTACAGTGGTTAGAGTGCAGTACTGCAGGCTAATTCTGCTGATTGCCAATTGCCAGCAGTTCTATTCTCACCAGCTCAAGGTTGACTCAGCCTTCCAACCTTCCAAGGTCGGTAAAATGAGGACCCAGATTGTTGGGGGCAATATACTGGCTCTGTAAACTGCTTACAGAGGGCTGTAAAGCACCATGAAGCAGTATATAAGTCTTACGTGCTACATTGCTATTCTTCTCGGGAAGCAACCATTTCTCTTGCCTTGTTGCTCTATTGCCCTTGTGCTGTGTTTCTCCTGTCCTGTTCCTTAATGTTTGGCATTACTGTAGTCAACGGAGTATTTAGAGTATCTTGGTTTGTTATGAGCATCAGATGACTGCTGCAAGAACCAGTACATGTAACTCATCCTGTTCAAAATGACCGTGTTGCATTCTGAATTGTTTTGCTTACTGTCAGGTAGGGGTTTTTTTTTTCCAGTTGCATCTAAAAATGCTTAAAAAAAACAACAAACTTTGCTGAATACTTGCAATTCCAGTCTAGTGAATTGGAAGGGTCTCTCACTTGAAATGCTGCCTTTGGAGTTCAAATCAGTTGCCTTATGTTTAAAAGAGGCCATTTTGATCTTTCCAGATGTGCCTCAAATGTGAAAGATTATTGAAGCAAGTCGTTTGAATTCAGAATGATTCAAGTTTGAAATATCACATCACTACGGGGAGCCTTCGGGTTACAATGGCAATTGGGAACAGGTCGTAAATTGTCACTTGACTGTGTTACTTAGTTATTTCCAGTAGTCCCTATTGCTACTATTAAAGGAAGACCACCTGTGATTGTAAGGATTTTCCCCTCCCCTTCCCTTCCCCTCCTGAGTGTTGCTTGCTGCCATGCTTTCAGAATGACATTTTTATGGGATAAAAATAAGGTAAATAATATTCTTATCACAGAAATACAATGATGCCTTAATCATCAATGAAGACGCCCGAACCAAAGATGCTTTGATTTATCTGAAGGATTATTTTGAGGATACCAAAAATGGCAACTTCGATAATATTGAACAGCATCTGGCTTCAAATTTCGAAGGTGTTTTATATATATATAATGTCCCTACATTCATGTTGCTTTAATGAGCCAAACATATTTCTATGCCAACAGAGAAACTTGACTTTCAAAGTAGATTAGAAGCAATACACAATAAACAACATAATTGTCTTGTCTTCCAGTAATACTTCAATCATTTCTCATCTGTCTGTCTACTATTTATATATCTTATCATCTCTCTCTCTCTCTCTCTCCCTCTCTCCATATATATATAATCTCTCTCTCTCTCTCTCTCTCTCTCTCTCTCTCTCTCTCTCTCTCTCTCTCTCTCTCCATTAATCTGTGTCTATCTCATCTCTCTATCATGTCTGTCTGTCTGTCTCTCTCTCTCTCACATACACACACACACATATATCTTCTCTAATTTTATCATTTTCAGCTCAAGGTTCATATGGTTAATTGCTGATATATTATCATCTAGTTCCCTGTATGATAAAAAACTAGCATGATATGGAAAAAGCTATTTTTCAAAATCATATTATTAAGTTATTATACTTGAGAATTAGGTCAAAACATAGAACAGGCCAGTGCTAAGGAACTGGGGGGGGGGGGAGAGGGAGAGACAAATAGACAGCGAGAAAGAAGCATGTGAATAAAAGAGATACTCTATAACGAGACAACTGATAAAAGTTTATCATAAACCAGTTCCAAGAATTAAAAAAAAAAACCTGATCCATACTGCCTTGGATGGAAGATGAAATGCAAAATTATTGTAGTTGATTTTTGAATCCTTTAAAAATGCAGCTATCTACCTATATCAGGGGTAGACAACCTTGGCTCTTTTATGACTCGTGGACTTCAATTCCCAGAATTCCTCAGCCAGCCATGCTGGCTCAGGAATTCTGGGAGTTGAAGTTAACGAGTCATAAAAGAACCAAAATTGCCTACTCCTGACCTATATGTAAACAAGTACAATAAAATGTTAATTATTGATCTGTATGGTGTTAGGTTATAGTTTTGCAGGAAAAGTGTCTCTTATCCATCCTTAGATAATTGTATTTTTCTTTCTCCCAGTTAATTTGCCAGAACTCACAGCTGCTTCCGAGGATGAATCCAATGAAAACCCTAAATTGGAAGATATTACAGAGATTCTGGGAGAGGTATATCATGTCAACCCTGAGACACGTACCATTCTCTTCGTGAAGACAAGAGCACTGCTGGCAGTAAGAAACTCTTCCAATCTGGAGGGAGTGGGATTCCCCCCCCCATTTTCTGCTATGTGTGGCTTAACATTTAAGATCAGCTTACCTATGTTTTGATATGGGTGGAACATTTCCTCTGGCATGGGACCCCAATGCACTCTTCTAACCAGCTGGTGAGCTGCTGAAGGCCTTCCGCTCACCTGGTAGCTGTCATGGTTCCGACAGATGAAACTCTTCAAAGAACTTCGAGGCATTGTTTACCTTAAAGAATCTTTATTTAAGTAGCATAGCATCCCCAGACATAGGCCAAGCCAAAATCTGAATTCCCCTCCCCTGAGCACATTATAAAGGTGCGCAGCAGTTAGGGTGCAGGCCGCTTTAGCTGACTGTGTTCAGCAGGTCAGCGGTTCAAATCTCATCAGCTCAAGGTTGACTCAGCCTTCCATCCTTCCGGGGTAGGTAAAATGAGGACCCAGATTGTTGGGGGCAATGTATATATATATATATATATATATATATATATATATATATATATATATATATATATATATATATATATATATATATATATGGCGTACACCGCTTAGAGAGTGCTCGCACTTAAAGCGGTATATAAGTCTCATAAATAAATAAATAGTATGAAAGCACAATTCCCTCCTCTAATTAGCAGTCATAAATCACATTCTCCAATTAGTTTGAAATGCAGGCTTTCCCTCCAGTTCTTTAACCCGCCATTTCTTATCATTTCTTATTTCAAAAAAAACCTTGGTTCTCACCCTTATACAGTATTGTTATGTCTAACTAAACTCCCATGCACATTCCTCCTCCTCCCCCTCAGTACCACCTAATTCTAAGAGTAAAACATAAAGTAAAGGAAAATGGCTGCATCTCCATATGTTGTCAAAGCAAGAACATCCGATGTTAGCAGCGTTGACATCAGCATCATAAGAAAGGGTAGGGTCAATTTTGGCATCCCTCTCTTCTTGTTACTGGTTGTCCTCAGGTTAGGACAGAAATTGGGAACGGAATTTCCAGTGTTAAGCAGTGTGCTTGTTGTTATTATTAAAATGTAATACTGTAGAGATATTTCCAAAGTTCTGTGATTATGTACAAAGGGGCAGGTCTTTATATGCACAACCACGCCAGCCCAATCTGCCAAATGAAACTTCGATCCCTATTAATTATCACAACTGAATTTTACAGGCATTGAAGAATTGGATAGAAGAAACACCTGAACTTAAGCATCTGAAGCCACAGGCACTGATGGGACGTGGGAAAAGAAACCATTGCACAGGTGAGGAAACTTGGATGGACTGTATAGGTTAGGGATGGGTGGTGAACAGATAGTCCTCAACTTATGACCACAATTGGCTAATCCAGGCAGTTGCTAAGTGCTAAGTGCTAAGGTTGTCTCATTTTACAACTCTTTTTGACATAGCTGATCAGCGAATTGTAGCAGTCATGAAGTGAAACCAGCTTCTCCACTGATTTGGCTTGTCAGAAGCCAGCTGGGACAGTCCCAAATAGTCATCCCATGATCCTGGACACTGTAACCATCATAAATGCATGCTAGTTGCTGGGAGAGTTGTAAGTGCAAGGACCACAGTCCTAAGTCACTCTTCTCAGTGCTGTGGTAACTTCTGATGGTCACCAAACAAATGGTGGTGAGTTGAGGATTAACCCCTGTCCTGTGCCAAGCTTTCAAGTGCAACTTAATTAAGAACTTGACACCTGTCCATGTTTTGTGTTTTATGGCACTGAGATTATCAGCAAGGTTAGGTTCTTTTGGCACAGTGTATTTTTTTTTTCTTGAGCACCCTCTGCCGACCTGTGATAAAGAGCAATATTTGTGTGATTGGATACTCTGGTTTCTCCTCTCTCACCTCTCTTAGGCATGACCCTCCCAAATCAAAAGGGGACTTTGGATGCCTTCCAAACCAATGGGGACAGCAAGCTTCTAATAGCAACGTCAGTTGCTGACGAAGGGATCGATATTGCTGAGTGCAACCTGATCCTGCTTTATGAATATATAGGCAATGTCATCAAAATGATACAAGTCAGAGGTAGGTTGGCAAAATTATTCTGTGAGACCTGAATGTAGAGGTTTTAATTATATTAACTGAAGGTCACACGTCCATCCTAGTGCGAAATACCGTCAGATATATAGTGATTCAGCAAGCCATACTTTATTTGGGTCTATTATGCAAACACAAGGTCCTTTTGATATTGGAGATATTATGCAATGCTTGGAACCATTGTTGGACTTCTCCAATCCAACTACGGTTAATGAGCATAAGTGAGAGCATCATCATCATCATTAAGCAATGTCATAAAGCAAAAAAATCATGACTGCTAATTTTCAGCAGCAGTTTGGGCAAATCTGGTTTCAGTCATTCGCCATGATGTTCAAGCATGTCTTACAACAGAGCTGGTACCGTACATTGGCAGCTAAACAATAGCATTGTGGTCTCCTGCCCAATGTAACCACACCATACATTGTTAATAATAATAATACTATGATTTACAATTTCTTACCAGCTTCCCCATTGATTTTGCTTGTTGAGAGTAGGCAGCAAATGTTGCAAATGGTGATAATAGGATTGTAGGATCCGGTGGCTGCCAGAATTGCACACTGGTTGCCAAGTGCCCTTGTCACAATCACATGACCATTGAAATGCTGCAAGGGTTGCAACTTTGAGGACACATCATAAATCTCCCAGGTTAGCGTTGTAACTTTGAACAGTCACTGAATGTGTAATTGCTAATCAAGCACTAACTGTATTCCTTGTTTGGGGGCCAATTTTCTTTTTTTAAAAAAAAACAAGTTTTATTGGTTTTTTAACTTTTACATCAAAGTGCTTGAGAAAGGTCTTTGGTTATTCAGGTTTTCTCCTCGAAGCACGAAGCTGAAAACACCAGCCTGAAGATGACGAATGGGACTTCGTCGAAACGTCGCCAAGACACTTCCAATTTTACGCGGGAGAAAACCCGAATAACCAAAGACCTACATACAAACACCCGCGAAAACCTCAGAAAACATATATATATATATATACTCAAATTAATTCATTAAGTGTTCCCCCTCTGTTTCCCTTCAGTAGTATAACATATTTAGGTTAATCCATTTCTACATTATATCTATATAGATACAAATCCTGTTTTTAAGCTTTACTGATTTAGAATTATCATAATCCAATTTAATCTTGAATAAACATATTATTAGCACTTCGGGTACCCCTTCTAAAATATACATAATATTCCAACAATAACATTCTAATATTTCCAGATATATTCTATTTCTTAGTCTAATAAGTCATTGATTAGTACCAATTTTTCTCTTATCACAAATCTTTCTTATTTCTTCTTCCACTACAAAAGTTATCCTAGTTAAGATAAAAAAATATTACTCTATTTTGTATATATAATCTATCAGTCAATCTATTTTTGTAACAAAACAAGACAAAAAAAAAATCACTTCAGTCCATTAGGTAAGATTCAAATCTCATCCAAATAATTATCATATCTAAAAGAAACCTATTGTTACACAAATATATCACCTTGCTAACTTCACATATAGCAATTTTCAATGCCATCAACCAGCGTCTTTCTGTACTTCCTACAAGTTTTGGGGGTGGCTGTTTTAAATAACTCTGCTCTTTCATGAGTGGATGAAAGAGCCCATCTCCCACTTTTCAATTGCTTTATAAGTGAATAATATTCAGTTGTAGGTCTCCATCCTGGGCTGGGCTAAACTTGCCCAGGTCAATGGGTTCAGCGAAAAGAAATAAATTGAAACACATTAAGATAGAAGTCTAAAAGCCACTTGGCCCTTATCTGTTTTGGTTGTCATTCTGGATAGCGTAACACTTTTTGTAAAGCAGATCTTTAACCTGAGGATCTTCCTCGACATTGTAATCATTGCTGGTAGATAGATAAGAGGTCATGACTAGAAGGGTCTCTTGTAATGCCAGTTATAGTTTCATTTGAAGAAGGTGGTCTTGGCAACAATTATTCATGACTTGATCGTGGAGAGAGAAAGGGATTATAAGAGAGTATTTTGACACATAAAAGGGAATACTGTACACTGGACTGTTTGTTTAGCATGCTTATGGTTGCCAGAACGGGCACCCTTCTTTCATTATACTTACTCTTGTAATTCTTCTTCTCCAATGAATGTAAGCATGAACACTAATTCCCTTCTTGATAATTATCCCAGGCTGAGGTGAGCATTGAAAAGGGCAGGGGAGTGGAGAAAAGGGGAAAGCTGAAGTAAAATGGTTAGAGGTAAATAAAACCTGAAGGTGTGAGATGGTGTAAGTCTTTGCAATTTCAAGCCAGAAAGCACAATAGTGGTCATGTGTTTTCCCAGCTAGTGTCTGCTTTCCTTAGCAATGGAATTGCTAGTTCCTATTATGGTCACTAAAAGAATACTACCTCTAATGTGCCATCTCCAGGTCGTGGAAGAGCAAAAGACAGCAAGTGCATTCTTGTGACGAGCAAAAAAGAACAGGAGGAGAAGGAGAGATACAATTTAGAAAAGGAGCAAATGATGAACAGAGCTATTGAAGAGGTACAGAGCTGGGATGAAAAGATCTTTGCACAGAAGGTGAGCAGTTTTTCAGTGAGGGCTTTCTAATGTCCCATTCAGCCTGGTGGTGGTGGTAGGGGGGGGGGTAACCTGCATTTTAAAATGAGCAAAAGCCTGTTCAAATGTAGAAGCTGCTGTTTTCCAATTTTGCTTTCTGCCAAGGTTTGGTTGTCATTATTTCATTTTCAGGATGGGTGGTGGTGGTGATGGTGGTGGTGGTGGAGGCTGATTCAGGACAACATTCCTGGGCTCTTGAGAGTAGATGGTGCATTGTGACTTGAATTCCATCTTTCCCTCTTCACCCCAGATAAACGTATTTCAAAAGCAGCTAATAAAAATGCTAGATTCCAAGAAAAAACCGACAGAATCAAAACCCTGGAAAAACAATAGAGTTCTCTTGTGTGGCAAATGCAAGAATCAGGCCTGCAGTACGGAAGATCTCCGGGTGATTGAGGTAACCTCCTGTTGCTGCCTTAGCTTCACGGTGGTTTTTTTTTTGGGTGGGATATGTGTTGGAGGGTACAGACCGGTTCCGCTCCAGTTCAGTTCTGAACAAAGCCTGATTCAGTCCAAATCTGTGCTTTGGAGTTTCAAGATTTGAATCAATAAAAAGATTTATCCGTAGACTATAAATCAGGAAAGAAATATGCCTGCATCTGCTTAATTTTTTGGCAGAATAAAATGAACACCAGTGATTGAGTCTTTAGAGAAGTGTTTTTTTTTAATTTCTTTTCTCTCTGGACCCCTTCCCGCTTTTAAAAAATTATGAACCCCCCAAAAAACCCCTCCCTTTTGTTTGTATGGGTTATGTTTATTGATATTTATCGTATTGAAAATTAAAACTGACCCATTTGTTGCCACTTCCGTTTCTCAACAATTGTTTGATGGGATTTTAATATTACATTTATTTTTCAACAGGCTGCCAAATAATTTTGATTTTGCAGCCTTCAGGGACACCCAGAGCTCCTCACATCATAATTTAAGAAATGCAGCTTCAGAGGAGATTGAGGCAAAGTTTTAGCTGGAAAGTGTTAAGGCTTTCATTGCTATATACAGTATTTTTAATAGTTCCTCTGCGCGTTCTCTATAATAAGACGTGTCAGGACTAGGGTGCAGGAAGCACAGCAAATAAAAGGCATCTGTTTGATTTTAAAGTTCAAATTTACCCAAGAATTAATTTTTTTTATTTTTTTTTTAAAAAGATTATTAAATTAAACCTTTCAATTGAACAATTCCTTTAAAGCTTTGCACAGCTGATTATACAGCTCCGTGAGTTTTGGGTACATTTGCACTAAAAGGAGTGAAGAAAATAAGTATTAGCTTTGGCCTGTCCGATTGTAAGGGTAAATTTTAGCACTTTGTACTTCTGTTCACTGTAAGAACATTCAGGGAGAGGCCCAGCCTTTGGGTTGCACATATAGAGGTGGAGTGTGGTAAATGGAGCTCTAACTTTCTAGTCCCTTTGAAGTGGTCAGATTCATGGCAAGATCAAGGGTAAAATTGTGCCTACATTAAATGAATATAGACAGGTGCATTTTTCAATTGAATTGTGAATGCACAATAGAGAGAGGATACATTTTGAAGGCTTCCACCATTCCACCAAAAAAGTAGCCAGTCTCCGAACCCCATCCCACCCCAAATTTTAAATGTTTCACACATTGATTCCACATATATTGTGGCTTTTGTGGTGTAGTCAGTAAACAGGAAGGGCTGTCAAAGGCTTGATTTAAGGCCGCAAAAGCCATGTCATCTCCATGCAAGTTCATAATCCAACAAATTCCATAAAACTCAAAAGACCAGAAACAATAGCACTTGTGGCCTTGCCCCCAACTGGGATAAATTGCATTGCAGATTTCTGTACAATCCCATCCTTCTTCCAAACTTATTTCAATGAGCAGGACTGCCAGCTATAAGGGCCAAGGGTGAATTCTTTTTTTAAAAAAAACTTGACTTTATTTTAAAAAAAGTTAAAAAGGCAAACCAGATGGGCTCAAAGGAGTCACACACGTATTTTTTTTTCTGTGTCAATTTTACATAAAGATACCTTTCTGAATTCCTACTACAAGGTAAAGTTTGGAATTTATCCAGTCCTAAATAAAATCCAAGCTAGCTGAATGCGTCCCATCATGAGAAAGCCTTTCTTTATATTTTTAGTTGATGGCTTTGCCATATCAGAATTAAAAGTTGGAAGCAGAATCATAGAGGATAAATGGAGTTCCTTTGACTGCTGTGGTTGAGGAAATTGATAACTAAAAGTGCACTTAATCTGCCCAGAGGTTATGATTTTAAGTTGACCAGAAAGCATGTAGCCTTATATTTCTAATTCAGTTACAAAGTGATTCAGATAATGAATGTAACTGCTGTGTTCATTCCAGGACTCGCACCATACTGTTTTGGGCGAGAAATTTAAAACACGGTATATCACAGAACCTCATAAGAAGGCACGCAACTACGGGAATTTTGAGAAAAAATTCAAGATGTATTGCACCAACTGCCATCACGACTGGGGAATCGTTGTGAAGTACAAGACCTTTAACAACATGCCCATCATCAAAATTGAGAGCTTTTCCGTGCACGATGTTGTTAGCAACAAGCAGATTCATTTCGGAAAATGGAAGGATGTGGATTTTGCAATGAAAGACTTCGATATTGAAGAAATGTCTGAGTGAAGTGCTGCCTATTCAAACTTCTGTTTATAATCTTGCACGATCTAGTTAATTCTGCTTTTAAAGTCAAATTGGTAACCGGGGTACCATTAACTTTCCAGTTATACTCCGGTGTAAATTCAAACTCCAAGCTAGCTTTGCCATCTGTCTGACTCTTAGCATGCTTCCATTAATCAATGTTTCTTCAAAAAAAAAAAAAAGCTGATCTGTTGCCACCGCTGTCTTTTGATTATGCAATTTAATAACAAAGGTATATATTTGAAACTTTAAAGAGTCATTGGTTATTTGTGGAGGCTGGGAGTTAAGGGGTAGTTTTTAAATTATAGCTGTACTTGGCTATTTAAAAAAAAAGGTCAGAGACGTATAGCTGAAGATATTCCAATAAGTTTAAAGTGAGGTTGAATCAAAATGACCACTAATAGTGATATTTAAGAAAGCCAAGTTTTCATCCTTCAGATTTTAAGACTAAAGCAGGGGTAGGCAACCTTGGCTCTTTTATGACTCGTGGACTTCAACTCCCAGATTTCCTGAGCCAGCCATGCTGGCTCAGGAATTCTGGGAGTTGAAGTCCACGAGTCATAAAAGAGCCAAGGTTGCCTACCCCTGGACTAAAGGTACTATATCAATTAGAATCTATTGTTAGGATCCCATTGCTGTTGCAACATTTTATTGCTCAGAACCTCAAAGCATGTTCCTTCCTGATAAAGCAAAGATTTATTCTTTATCTCGAACCGGTTTCCCAAAAACAAAGTAAAATCCACAAAAGGTTCTACCTGATTTTTGAAAAGGCGTCTGTTACAAATAGCTTTAATCCTGCGGTCCCATGAACGAAGGCACATAAGAAGGAATGCACACACGCCAAAGAATAAAGAGCCGAGTCATTTAATCGTTTTAGCAGTATTAAAAATTTCAAGGAGGGATTTTGATTAGCGCTTTTAATGCAACAGTGCTGGGTTAGTAACTTCTTAGGCAGATAGGAAAAGGAAACTGGTACGGTTAAATGCTGTATAAAAGGTTGAAAAGTATCTAGCCTCCACGTACATGGGTGATAAAACGTTTTTGTTCCACCTACAAGTCCAAAATAGACGGATGAAATGCAGTGCTGTAGAAAGGATGAGTTCAAATATACACGTAAAACAGGCTAGTGGCCAAAAGGTTAGGGCGGACAGTGTAAAAACACCCTTTACCAGCCCTTGCTTCAATTCTGCTGAGAACACGTCCCCCAGCAGCCACAGCCAGCCCTGAAAGTCTGGACACTGTAGTCCTAATACACTTGGAAGGCACTACGCTGGGGAAAACCGCACATAATTCCCTCGTTACTGTATATTTTGGTTTTGTTTTTTTCTTCATAATTACAGCATTTATAATTACTGAGCCTCTGTCCTCTGAAAAAGGTGGGCTTTCTGGATATGAGCAGTGCTTCATTTGGGGGTTAAGATGCCATTTTGCGAATCATATAGTTCAAGATACCACCATTACGAAAGTAGGTGAGCTCCACGTCGGTGTCAAACCTCATGACGGCTTGAAAGGTTTTTCCTGTGTCCAACTGTGGAGAGAACACAAAGATGACAAGGAGGATTAAGGAAAGCTACCATGGTTTAAGACGGGTAGGCAACCTCGGCTCTTTTATGACTCTTGGACTTCAACTCCGAGAATTCCTGAGCCAGCTATTCTGGGAGTTGAAGTCCAAGAGTCATAAAAGAGCCAAGGTTGCCTACCCCTGGTTTAAGAAGTTCAAACGGGGACTTTTAAAAAAAAATTATGTCAAAACTCCAAAGAAATAGGATCTCCTTGGAAATAACATTACATCACTATACATTCTTTCCTGGATGCATTCTTTGGGTGTCTCCTAACTTCTTAAATGAGCAATCTGAGGGGTCGGGGACATGAAAACAGTGTTCAAAGGTGCACACACAATATTTCCAACAACTGTGGGGCTCAGGGCTGCACATATTACTTATTCAGGCAACACCCATTAGAACACTCACCTCACAACTAGAACTTGCCATTCAACCCAGTGGTAAAAAGTTGCTTTTCACTGAATTAAAAACTCTTTTGTTTCTTCTGGGAGTCTGAACCCCAGAAGGCTGACCCTCTCTTTGTACCAGCCCCTTAGGCATTGGAACACTGCTATCATGTCATCTCTAGTCTTTATTATTATTAAACTAAACATACCTAATTCCAGCAACTGTTCTTCATATGGTTTAGCCTCCAGTCCCCTGCTCATCTCTGTTGCTCTTCGCTGCACTCTTTGAATTTAGTCTGACTTGCTTCAATAGAAGCAAAGGCTTCCATGCATGGGAATTCTGATTTATCACATTTTAGCAATAGGAACAGCACTTAGACTTGTATACTGCTTCACAGAGCTTTACAGCTCTCTCTAAGCGATTTACAGAGTCAGCCTGTTGCCCCCAACAATCTTGAGTCCTCATTTTACTTGGAAGGATGGAAGGCTGAGTCAACCTTGTGCTGACCAGGAATTGAATTCCTGGCAGTGAGCAGTGAATTAGCCTGCAATACTGAAATTCTAACCACTGCACCACCACAGCTCTTTTATAAGGGAACATAACTCAAAATCCCTTGATTATTTCTATGCCCAAAGACTGCTAATATTTTCAGGCTTAGGCACCCTTTTCATTCCTTAAAATCTTGCAAAATCATCAAACCTTGAAAGATTTCAGTGATTCAAAGTCAATTCAAGAGCTTGTTCAGACTCCAAATTTCGTTCCTTAAACCTGACGCGCAGCCACCCAACATAACTGCACGCTCTTCATGTATGTACACACAGATACATAGCATTGCTATACAGCAGGGGTCCCCAACACCGGTCTGTGACCAGTACCGGTCCGTGGCATGCCAGTAACCTATCCACACAAACAAACAAAGCCCCATCTGCCAGATGTAGGCAGCATACAAAACCACACCCCCACCGGTCCGCAGAAAAATATCTCTCCACGGAACCGGTCCCTGGTGCTCAAAAGATTGGGAACCTCTGCTCTACAGTATTAAAATAATGCCACCCCTGGAAATGCTTACTTTGATCTGGATATTCATTCTGGGCGTCAGGTCCTCAGGAATAATAATTGTGTAACGTTCCCGCCCTGTCAGTCCTAGGCTTTCTGCATCCTGGCCCGGGAGATATTGTAGGGGAATAACTCCCATGCCCACCAGATTACTGCGGTGAATCCTCTCATAGCTCTCTGCAAGGACTGCTTTGATACCCTGAGGAACATACACACACGCGTTAATAGTTAAATTAAAAAGTTGTAGAAGTGGCAACTATGCAGACAGAAGATCTCAGGTCCATTCTTAACACTTCTAGGTAGGATTGGGAAAAAGTCAATAGTTGGTGATGCTGTGCTAGATAGATCAGTGGTCTGCCTCGAAGAAGTAACTTCTCCATTTTCTGGTCTTAAGACATTTGAGAAGTTTGCCAACCGAAAGCTGCAAAGCAACAAGTCAACTTTCCCTCAAAAGGGCAATCCCATCATAAATATGAACTGAAGGAAGACATGGCAGGCAGAGGCAGAGGACCACTGAAAAATCCAAATATATAAATGCACATATATTGTGTATAAATGAAGCAGTGTATTTCAGTCTGGAGCTTGAACCTAGAACAGGGGTAGGCAACCTTGGCTCTTTTATGACTCGTGGACTTCAACTCCAATGCTGGCTCAGGAATTCTGGCAGTTGAAATCCACGAGTCATAAAAGAGCCAAGGTTGCCTACCCCTGACCTAGAACTTATGGAAGCTAAATTCATCCGCTGAACCAAAATCTTGAATGTCTCTCGTCAGACTTATTGGGCAAAACATTCCTCTACTCCTTTCCCAGATCCTGAACATACCATGAATTTGGGGGGGGGGAACTATTAAAATGCCTAATTTCAGTGGTAATATATCAGCGTGCTTGGGGGCTCAGGGGTGGCCATTTGAAGGACTCAGTTTGCAGAAAGTCCCCTAATCCTCTTTGTTGCTCTTCACTGGACTTTTTGAATTTAGTCCGACTTGCTTCAATAGAAGCAAAAGCTTCCGTGCATGGGAATCCTGATTTATCACATTTTATAAGGGAATATGACTTAAAACCCCTAGATTATTTCTATGCCCAAAGACTGCTAATATTCTCAGGCCTAGGCACCCGTTTCAAGCCATCATTCTTTGAAATCTTGCTAGATCATCAAATCTTGAAAGATTTCAGTGATCTGATCCAAAACAATATACAATCTCATTGGGCTCTGAACAGATACAGTTGGGAGAAACAAATGCAGTACTGCCCTTGGATGTCCTGCTGCTAAACCCCAATGTTTTAATTTTGGCATTAGGGCCTATTCAGACATAATGCCTAGCTAGGACTAAGTACGACTAAGTACTTCATAACAAGTAGTACATACAGTTGAAGTTGAAGTACTGACGATGGGGAACAGTATCTGCACAAAGGACTTAAAACTGAAGTTGAACCTGCTGAACACAAGTCAACAGTACGACAAGGTGGCTAAAAAGGCAAATTTGGGCTGTATCCATCAAGTTTAATTTTCAAAATCAGAGGAATGGATCCACTGTATTGGTCAGAACCCACTTGGAGTGCAAGGACGAATTCTGTCCATAACTCTTTCAGAAGGATTCAGTCAAAGGGTAACAGGAGCAAAGAAATGCAATGAGAAGAATTAGGGATGTTGATTAGTTTGGAGAAAAGATAATTGGGGGGGGGGAAGAGGTGAGGGGATATGACAGCACTTTTAAATTGTTTGAAGTTGTAAAAAGAAGGTCCAGATCCGTTCTCTACAGTCCCATAGAATACAGATAGTCTTCAGCTTATGACCACAATTGAGCCCAACATTTTTGTTGCTAAGCGAGAGAGTTTTGTTAAGTGAACTTTGCCCCATTTTACGACCTTTCTTGCCACAGTTGTTAAGTTAGTGACACGGTTGTTAAGTGAATCTGGCTTCGGCGTTGACCAGCAATTGTCTCAAAAGGGGATCACATGACTCCGGGACGCTACAACCGTCATAAATGTGAGTCAGCTGTTCAGCATCTGAATTCTGATCCTGTGACCATGGGGGTGCTGCAACGGCTGTGTGAAAAACAATCGTTAAGTAACTCTGAATGGTCACTAAACGAACCGTTGTAAGTCGAGGACTGCCACGTAAAAAAACGTCAACCTACAAGGATATATCTGAAAGAAAAAAAAAACCCCTCCTAGCAGAAAGAGGGGTTTGACACGGAGATTGAACAGACAACAAAAACCTGAGAGCAGAAGATGGGACTC